GGATTCTCGGGTTGACCCACAAGGGGGTCCAGCTGAAAGGGGGTGGTGCAATAGATTTGGGGTAAGTGTGTTGCAAATGTGCTGCGCCGGGGAGTTGTTTTGCATTGTATTGCAAGTCATGTCGTGCACGCGGAAATCCAGCAATACACTTGCGCCCCAGAATGTACTGCACGCCCCAGACGTATGGCAACCCCAGAAGTGTCTTGCACCAAATCTATCGCACCACCCCCTCGTCGCTGGAGCCCCTCGTGGGTCAGATCAGGGCCGCAGCCTACAGGTGGGCGCCGAGGTTCGAGAGATGCCTCCGCTTGCCAGGGCCGAGAAGAGGTCACCGGCGCCTCGAGAGAGCCGACGGGGCCACCTCTCGAGGGGGGTCCGACGACCGCATTTCGCGAGAGCCTGCCCACGGCCAGGAAGTCGACCCAGGACCCGAAGTCATCACCTGGAGATCATCGGCGGCGAGCGGGGGGGAAATGAGAAGGAGAAGGCCTCCTCAGAAGGCGGCGGGACTTCTCAGAAGCCCTCGCGCCTTCTGAGGGGTTTTTGTCTGTCTTCGGGGAATGCTCAGAAAACTTCTCAGAAGTCCGGGGGACTTCCGAGCCTTCTGAGAAGGCCCGCCCCTCCTCACTTCCCCCCTCGCTCGCCGCCGAGTTAAGATCAACGAGCCGAGCAAGACGGCTCTGAAAGGAGATCCAGGGGGGGGGGCGAGCCGCCCCAGGGGCACAATCGGTGGCAGCGGCTCGTCAGAAGGATCCAGTCGCGGAAGCGCTGGTCAACACACGCGCAGCTCCTGAAGTACGGCAAACACGGGTGCCCCAAGAAGTTCACCCCAGCGACGGGGTTCTGGCAAGTTAGCTGTACCTCAGCAGGCCAGGCATCGAGCCGTGCAAGCTGCATCGAAGTTCGACAACCGGGTAGTTCAGAAGCAGCCCGCCATGGCTCGCGAGGACAGAACCGACATGGAGGACCCATGCGCCCCTCTGGACAGCACGCTGAGCGAGCAGGTGGAGAAGATGGGAAGGAAAGCAACCCGCCTTGATCTCTTCAACCACCTGGACTTCAGCAAGAGAGCTACAGTCGGCCTTGATTGGACAGGACACGCGAGAGGACACAAGACCCTTCCGAGGACCACATCGCCACAGGAGTGTAAGAAGGCACGTGTCGCGAGGAACAGGACACAAGGGTACTCTTGAGCTGGCAGGGTCGACCTACTAATCCGGGCCAACTGTACAGTGATCAAGGCCAAGCAGATCATCCAGGAAGAGATGTCACGCTGGGCCCATGTCTCACCACCAGCCAGGCCAAACACCATCGAGTCGCAGGAAAGGCTGATCAAGATGAGGAAGTGGGGCCGCCGAATCACGAGGAACGCGTTGGAGGTCCTGTTTTATGCCTGGAAGGGGGAGCATGGGACGGAGGCATCGGTCGAACACCCTTTCAATGCAAGCTCGTGGAGAAGCATCCCAGAGCTCTTCGACACCTGGCACCAGCTGCACGAGTCCGACACCTACGAATGCGGATGGGCATTGAAAAGCGACGTGACGGGAGGAATGACCCGGAAAGGCTGGAGGATCATCACCTCGAGCTTGACACCGGCAGACCGTCTGCGCCGCAGGTGCACCTGCCACCATGAACACAGGAGGAGGAGGAGGAGGAGGAGGATGGGAAGGAGGAGGAGGAGGAGCAGGAGGAGGAGGAGGAGACTCACCACGTCAGCGAGCCTCGTGCTCGAGGCGCGATGATGATCGACGAGGGCTCAGCGAAGGCAGTGCCTACCATCCATGAGGGGGCCCTGGGACACACAAATAAATATACACACAAATAATAGGATTCCCCATAGTTTCCCATATTCTGTGGGTTTCTGTCTTCCCCCCCCCCACTTCCCACATCTTCCCATATTTCCCGGGGACTCGACGATGAATTGTCTGTGTTTATTTTTTCCCCTCCTGAATCCAGGCCACAGCCACGGCAACGGACGGGGGGTGGCACTGGAGAGACTCCGGCCTCCATCGCGTGGGAAGCGCTCGTGAACGACCGGGCCACTGCAGGTCAGGACCGATCCCGCAGGAGCTCGCAGATCGAAGGTGCTCCACGAAAAATAGGGGGCCACATGCGAACCCTGCCCCTACCCCCGACGATTTCTGAGGGGGAGGGGTTCAGGGTTCGCATGTGGCCCCCTAAAAAAGCAGCACAGCGAAGCATCCATTGGGAAGCTGGTCCTGCCGAGGCACACAGTGGAAACACAGGCGCGTGGAATTGACCATCAACCTCATCAAGCTTGCCGCCACACGGATGGCCACCATGGATCCAGAATGCAAAACAGAAAAGTTGTTCAGCCAGTGTGCGGCAACCCACTGAGAGATGTTCCGGGTCTCCGGAGCCTCTCCAGATCAAGGCATTTCGGACGACAGCTTCGACCGCTGGACTCACAGCTGACGGGCACTGTGGTATAGCTCCAGCCCGAGGCCGAGAAAGGATCGAACGCCGAGAAGATGATGAAAAGACGTATGCAGGCGCGGAAGGTGTTTGCAGAGGCTCTAGTAGATCATCAGGCTGGACTGGCAGCTCTCTCCAAGACGAGGCAGTTCACGACATGGGAGACGGGCAAGCTTGTACTCTTCCGGGCTGAGCCCTGCAGCAGGAGGGATAAGCTCAAGAGGTCCAAGCGGGAGTTCCTAGGACCAGCCTTAGGTCGGGCATGTCCTCCTACAGCCGGATTTTGAGCGAAAAATGAAAAATAGTCCAACAACCATAACTTCTAAACACATGCTCAAACATGGTCCACAATAGTCGTCCCCAGACAATTTGTTTGACAATTTGGGAACTTCCCTCCTGTAGAGGGACAGGCCCGACTTAAGACCAGCCTTGGTGGTAAACGAACTCTTTCTGCCCGAGAGAATGACGAGGCCCCCCCCCCCGCAGCCTGGTGCTGAACTACCACCACTCGGCGGTGGGCAAACCTCCCTTTAGTAAACCTCCCCTTAGTGAAAACGACCTAGGACCGAAATCGACGGACCTGGACCCGCAAAAATGACGGCCGCGACGCCCTCTCGCGAACCGAAAACGGCCAATTCGCTAATCGACGTGTCAGGGTAGGAGGTCTGTCCACCCCCGAAGGTGGGCTCTCGCCACGCTCCGGCAGCTGAGACCCGCGCGCGAGCACGATGAGGACCTCTGCGCTCAGGTCGGGCGTGTTCCCCTACAGGCGGATTTCCCTAAAAAAGACAAATGAACACAACAAAAAAAAAAAAAAACATGAAAATACCTACAGCGGACTTTGAGCAAAAAAGGAACAAAACATGATAAATACCCTAGACATGCTCAACTATACAAAAAATAGTCTCTCTCACACACACACAAAAAAAAAACAAAAAACAAAAAAACGTCCCCTGAGTATGTGTTGACTATGTTTGAATATTCCCCCTGTAGATGGACACGCCCGATGTCACTCCATGCGTATGTTGCTCCCATCGCACTCCAGGACCACTCTGGAAATGATTTCAAGCACCCAGGAAAGTACCCAAAGAGTGTCGAACGAGCATCGCCTGCCAGGGCCCGGCACGTGAAAAGCCTCCAAGCTTGGTAATCTCTTGTTTCTCGAGATTCTTTCTGGTGGTCAAGGCTGAAGCAGGTTGGCACATCATGACTCTATGCGATACTCCGGATGTCGAAGCCAATCGAGAGACAGCCACTGGTCGAGGCACCGGACATCGAGGCCAGGCACTGGGACGTAAGCAACCAGAGACCACCCGAGGGAGTTGATCACGATCGAGGCGAGACACACGCCTCAGCGGACGAACCTGAAGCCCCTCCGGAGCCAGATCACCAAGACGAGGCAACAGAAGAAGCTCGCGGAAATCAGCTAAAGGACGAACTCATGCCAGAGCGGGACCCCGAGGAGCTCTCCAGAGATACACCACAAGTCCCACAAAACGACCTGATTCTAGAGGACGTACTACGCAGAATGGCAGAGGACCTTGATTCGGAGCCAGACCAAGAGGAGCCACCACCATCGCAGACGGCTTCACGACCACCTTCTCCAGCGGAGGTACTTGCGCCACCAGGGCAGACGTCTACAGATTACAATCCTGGGAGAAACCCACTCCTGGACGACGTCCCAATTTCACTCCGACGGAACCCCGCAGCGCCCGAGAAGAAACCCAGGACGACCGAGGCACTCGGGGTGGCTGAGATCTTCGCTAACCTGAGCGAAACCATAGACGTCTATACCGCCGAGTTCGCCATAGAGGGAGCGGTGCTCGCTTCTGCAAGCGAAAAGACAAAAAGAAGAGAGCCTTAAGAAGGCGGCAGAGAAGCGACAGGTGCAGATGAACTTAAGGAAAGCGTCGCAGGTGACCACGGTCGCAGACGCGAATATGGAGGTCAACAACTGGACGCACAACGAGGTCTGTCAGGCGGCCAGGCAAAAGCCAGACGTGAAACCCATGAGGACGAGGTGGCCCCCCATCATGAAGGACGAGGGCAGCACAGTAAAAGCAAGGCTGATCCTGCTGAGCTCTATGGACCCCCAACTCGCCACGATCGAGAAGTCGAGCCTCACGATGTCCTCCCGAAGAAAGAATCTCACTCTACATATTATGGCCAGCGTCCGATTCAGAATGTGAAGCGGCGACCTGAAGGCAAGGGTATCCCACACAGGCCAAACACAACTTGCTGGTGGAGCCAGCGCCAGACCTTCGATGAGCGCTTCAACTATCCGACGAGGAATGCGTTGAGATGCTGAAGGCAGCGCACGAATTGGTGAGCGCACCGAAAGAGTGGCACGGCAATGTGGACAATGACCTGAAGAACCTGGGGTACATAGCGATGTCCTTGGAGCCGTGTCTTTGGATCAACTGCGCAAGGGCATGATCGAGATAGTCGTCTTCGTGGGCGTGGACGACTTCGTGATCGGTATTCCCAACTCGCCAAAAAGGACACAAGAACCTGTTCGACATTCAGGGCCTGTTACACTTGGGGGTCAGGGGAGGCCAGATGCATTACTCAGTGTGGGTCAGAGCACGTGCATGTGGTAAACTACACAATCCGCCGATCCCCTTGGGTTCATCGGCGCGTGAGATGTTCCCCCCTCCCCACATCCCTCCCCCGGGAGCCCAGCCCAGTCGATTTGGAAGGGGGGGGGGGGCCCAGGACCCGGCTGAGCGCACCCGGGGGGGCAGAGGGCCCCGAAACAGGCCAAGAGGGCCCCAAGAGGCCGCCGGGGCGGTCCACAAGGGCCACGACTCGCTGAAAGATCGACCCAAAACGCCCACGCTGGCCTCCAGACGGCCCAAGAGGCCTCAAAGACGCCCCTGGAACCCCCCAAGAGGCGTCCCAAGAGGGCCTCCAGAAGCACAAAATCGCCTCATTTCCATTGCGAGACAAATATGTGTATCACATTCGCCTTTTGGGCGTTCAGATCGTCCCAGACGGCCCAAGAGGCCGTCAAAAACGCCCCAAGACGGGCCAAGAGGCCCCAAAGAGGGCCCCAAAGACGACCCAAGAGGGCCTCAAGACGGCGCAACAAGCCCCCAAGACGGCCCATGAGGGAAGAGGGAACTCGAACGGACAGTTCGAATCTTCCAGCCCAAGACGCCTCCGGGCTGCCCCAAAAAAGCCCCCAACAGGCCCCCAGGGAGCCCAAGATGGCCGCAAAAAAAAAAACCAAGAGGCTCCCAGGAGGCCCCCGAGAGATTCAAACACTGCCTCCGAGACGCCGCCGAAACGCCTCCCACAAGACCCCATCAGCCATCCGAGTGGCCCCAGACCCGCAACCCAAGCACGGTGGCGGGCTGTGCCAGAGGCCATTCGATACTCCTTTTTCTGGTGTTCTGACAGATGCCCTGCCACAGCTTTGGCTGCGCTGGGCACCACTGTCGTCCCCCGGCTGCTGCCGGCCGCCGTGGTTCGCCGATTGGCCCAACCCTCGCCATCGCTCGGACGTCCATTCCCTGTGTTTTTATTCGGTTTCGTGCGTGGTTTTTTCGCCAAATGATCAAAGATGCTCCTCGATGGTCCTCGCCGAAGGAAAAATGCACACGTCCGAGCGATGCCAAGACCCTGTCAAACCCGGGCAAGAGGGGGTTCTCGCGAGCCGCTCGCCTGCGGGTCGGCAGCGCGCTGCCCCTCCGCCCCACTTCGCAGCGCGCGGCGCAGCCTGCCGCCGCGGATGCGGCCCGGCGCCGCCGCCCCGCCTGCGGGGTCCCCTGCAGGCGGGGCGTGTTCCTCCCCGTTCGCGTCGTGCCTGCCCCGTCCGCTCTCCCTCCCTCCGCGCGCCGCGATGGTGCGGGGTTGCTGCCTGCAGCCGCCACGCTGGGGACCTGGGCCCGGTCTTGCCGCCCGCCACCCCGGGCTGGCCCAGCACCTTGCTGGATACATCCCTCCCCTGGTGCTCGTCTACTTGCCGCACCTTCCGCGCACCCACATGGCCGACGCGCGGCCCGCTGCCTTGCGTGTCATGCTCCTTGGCGGCTTCGTGACACTCGACTTGCTGTACTTGTTCTGGTACCCGTCCCGCACTGGGCCCCGCCGCCGCTGGAACCCCAGCGCAGCAGCCGCCTCTGTCCCCGCCAGCGGGGCTGGGCGCGCCTGCAGCTCTGGCAATGACCCGTCCCCCCCTGAGCGGCCCTCGCTTGTTCCCCCTCCCCGCGGCCGCCCGCTCGTCCTGCCTCCCCTCCTCTTGCATGATGGCCATTTCGCTACAACGGTGCCCCCGATTAGTTAGCTTCTTCCGCCAGCGCAGACGACCCCTGCCTAGCCGCCGAGGCAAAACAATTGACAGATGCCCGCCGTCTGTGCACGTGGAGTCTCGCAAGTTTCCCCATGCGCGCACGGCGAATACTGAGAATGTCAGCCCAATAGGCTCCGAGAAGGCCCCCAAGAAGCCCTCATGAAGCCCCAAGAGAGCTCCAAGAAGCCCCCAAAAGGCGCACAATAGGCCCTCAGGAGCAACACACAACAACTGCCAGTCCGCCTAGGAGTCGGCAGTGTGGCGTAAGCTTGAGAATCCACGTCCGGACTGCAACGAAACGTCTCGGCAGTCCGACAGGACGGGTGTGTGACGCAAGGGCCTGACCACCAAGCGTCAAGAAAGGCCCATTGCAAAACATGGTACTCTTATACATTGCAAAGCAACCCCTCTTGAATCCCCCCAGAGGGCCCCCGCCGAGTCGCCGACCCTTTCGTGCGAAGTTGACAAACCTACCAACAACCTATGGAAAATACATGACATTGGCCTTGTGGGCCCCCTTGGAGTCCACAGGGGAATCCCGACGGCTCAAGATGGCTTCAAGACGACCCACGACGGCCTCAGGACGGCCCAAGATAGCTCCAAGAGGGCCTCAGAGGCCAAAAAGAGGGACCCCAACAGACCCCCAAGAGCGCCTCCAGAGGCCCCGAAAAAATGTTGTTCCGTAGGTTTTTGAATGATGTAGGCTTCTCGCAGATTCGAAGTTTCGGCCGCCCATGACGGCTCAAGCACCCTCCGAAACGACCCCCCTGCGGCCCAAGGGGATTCCCAGATAGCCCAAGAGGGCCCCAAGATCGCCCAGAAGAGGCACCCAAAATGGTCCAAGAAGCCATCAAGACGGCCCAAGAAGACCCCAAGAGAGCACCAAAGTGGCACTAAGAAGCCTCCAAGACGGTGCCCGCAGGGTCCAGACGGCGCAATGGCGCTTCAAGACGGTCCAAGACGCGCCCAAGAGGCCCCAAAGAGGTCCCCAAAAGGCCCCAAGAGTCCCCCAAAAGAGGCGTCCGAGAAGCCCCCCAAAGGCCAAATCGATGCGCGCAGCGTTGACAAACGTGCAAAAACGCAAAACGGAACCCAGGATAGGAGGAGGAGGAGGGAGGAGGAGGAGGAGGAGGAGGAGGAGGAGGAGGAGGAGGAGGGGGAGGAGGAGGAGGAGGAGGAGGAGGAGGAGGAGGAGGAGAGGAGGAGGGAGAGGAGAGGAGGGAGGAGGAGGAGGAGGAGGAGGAGGAGGAGGAGGAGGAGGAGGAGAGGAGAGGAGGAGAGGAGGAGGGGAGGAGAGGAGGAGGAGGAGGAGGAGGAGGAGGAGGGAGGAGGAGGAGGAGGAGAGGGGAGGAGGGGGAGGAGGAGGAGGAGGAGGAGGAGGAGGAGGAGGAGGAGGAGGAGGAGGAGGAGCCCCGAAGCGCCTGCACGAGGAAACTGCACAAACACAATTAACACCAAAAGGAAAATATGGGTTTGGCTTCTTCGGCCTCCTAGTAGTCCCAGAGGGCCCCAAGAAAGCTCAAGATGCTTCCAGACGGCCCGACGGCGCAATGGGGGCCCCAAGACGGCCCAAGACGCCCCCAGGACGCCCCGAGAGGCATCGAGCTAACCAGCGACGAGACGAAGTTGAAGGACGAGGTACCCCTGTCGGACAGCCTCAAGTCCAAGTGCAGAGGAGCCCTAGGCAGCATGATATTCCTGGCCTCTCAAGAGATGACCTGGCTCGCCAGCGAAACGAGCATCCTGGGAGGAGACGTGCCAACAGGGACGATGGCGACAATCAAGATGATCAACAAGCTGGTGCACACCGCCCACTAGACCGCCTGGATCACCATCGTGTTAGTTTCAAGCCAGTGGACGACCCAGTCTTCGCAGCATAGCACGATGAAGCTTGAAAGTTACGAAAAGCAGGAGGCTCACAAAATGGCTTGATCCTCCACGGCCACCGCACCTCCGTCACCATGATCCAAGGAACATCCACGGAGTGACCGAAGGTGACGCGAAGTTCCCTGGGAGCTGAGATCCAGATGGGCACGATGGCCAACGAGGCTCAAGAGTATGTTCGTCTCGCTAGGTATGAGATGAGTCACGGACGCCCGAACACCAACCACGAGATCAATGAGTCCCTGAGGACAATGCCAGGAACTCTCGTCACGGACTGCAAGGCGATGTCGTCCGCGCGTGCTCATCAGGATATGGATGCAATGACCAGCGATCAGCGATAGAAGGCTGGGCCCTCCGTCAAAGCATAAGTGCAGCCGGCACAATGCTGAGGTGGGTACCTTCGGAGGCGATGATCGCAAACGGGTCAACCGAGCTGGAGGCTCCAGCGTTGCAGATCACTCTGGGCTTCTACGTCAAGCAGCAGTGGGCCCTGGTACAAGATCCCGAGTTTACGTCCGCCAGGCACCAGAAGATCATGAACATGGATACTCTCTAGACACCGTGGGCGACACCGAGAGGCCGCCAGTGGTGCTGGACTTCGAGGGCGACAACATCGAGAAGGACTTCGAGGATGATCAGCAAATGCAGCCGCACATCTTTCCGCAACTGTGCAGGCTGGCCCCTGTCAATCGCCGCCATCAGGACCTCAGCCCGACCTCAGAAGACAATTTCAGGACTACGGGTGTACTCTCCACAGTAAGGAGGGCACTGAACCCCGAGTCGAAGAAATCTGGATTTTGGTTTGAAGATGCTAGGCGTTTGCAAATGCATGATTCTTAGACCCATATAAAATGCTCGAGCTTTCTGTGTAAGCGGCCACCAAGAGGCCCCCAGAAGCCCACAACAGACCCCGAAAGGCCCCCGAGACAGCCCTCAGAGGCCCCCAAGAGACTCAAGAAAGGCTCTCCAGAGGCCCCCAGAGAGGCCTCCAAGATGGGGTTCAAGACGGAGGTGAGAGGATAGACAGGGAAGAGGATGAAGAGCGAGGAGACGGAGAAGGAGCGAGGAGGAAGGAGGAGAACGAGGCTGCGGACAAGGAGGGGGTGTTCAAGACCCGCTCCGGTTCAGCACCCTGTCTGAACGTGAGCGGGTCTTAAGTCGAGCCTCTTTCCTGCTTCGCTGCGGCGCTGCGGCGCTGCTGCGCTGCGGCACTTGCACGGTGGCGGAGTTTGCCGCAGGCAACTGGATATCATCTTCATCTTCATCCACCGCTTGGTTATCGCGGTGCTGTGCGGAAGAATTAGAGGGGATCTTGTCGTACCATTCGCCCGTGGCGCTCTCCACCCAGGCAGGCTCAGGAAGACCAAACGTGCTGTAGTCGTCGGCGAATTTCTGAACCAATTCCTTGGCGGCGTCTTTCGTGAACAACTTCATGAGGAGTCGTTCCTCGTTGGTCCAGGTGTTTTTTTCAGTGGGTGTTTCATCGCCGACGAATTCTGCATTGAACTTTGCCAGGCCTGCTTCCTCCAACAGGCATGCAGCATCCCTCGTTAAGGATTCTTTTGTCATGTAGCCAATGAATGTATACTCATGTATGCGCTCCTTGAGTTCGCAAAAGTGAGACTGCATCACCCAATGTTCGTTTAAATGACTGGGGCCTAAGTCTGCATTCAGCGCCCACGACACGATCTTGCGAATGCTGACCCACACATTATGATCTATGGGGCAAGGCCCTTTGTGGGAAGCGCATTTGTCAAAAAAAACCGATGCCAAACGGGCGATGGGGTCTCTTACAAATACAGCTCTAGTGGCCGAGGGATTGCTGAACACGTCTGCTCGTGCTGATGCACTTTGAACGTGTTCTTTCAGTCGGATAAAAGTATCAGACGGTGTATAACCTGGGTCATTGAGGTACACCTTCTCAAGTACGCGCAACCAGCTCCTGCATGCATTCTTGGGTATCGTGCAGAACGCGAAGTTTTGCTCTGGGAACGCCATCAGGCCCTGCCAACCAAAATCCAAGAACCCTTGAAAACTTTTGGGCGTGTGTTTCACGAACTGGTTGTCGCAACTTTGTCTTAGGTGCAAATGTCCATCCTGCACGTCGCACGCAAACGATTCGCATTCCTTCGACGCACCGATCCGCAAGGCCTGCAAAGGCGTGATGAAGAAAATCACAAGCGCCAGGCACACATCATACGCAGGCGACATATGGGTCGAGTGTTCTCTTCAATTTCGCAGCGGTGGTGTGCGCATCGCGTTGTATAGTCCTTTCCTGTATCGATGATTTGAGCCTGAAAGGCCACGGAAAGAAAAGAAGGAGCTGGACGAGAAAGCTGTTGTCACTGTCGGCAGTACGTAAATGAACAGCAACAGCAGCATGTGCAAATCGACTTGCACGAATTGAACCTCAGTCACCAATGCCTTGCTGAAGACGGTGGTGAAACAATATCCGCACCTGGGGAAGGTAAAGGTGACCAAGCAGGCGACCTCGGGGAGGGTCTCCGAGCGGCTCTGAAGTGGGTCCACCTGGTGTTTATGTGCATCGAACACTGCTTGCAAACTCGGCACCGTCACTTTGCACGAGTACAAGGAGTCTCGGAACACATCACCCATGCCGCAGGCACCACGCCGGCTCACAGTTCCATCCAAGAGCGCTGAAAATGAACACGAAAGGGGGCAGGTGGCAAATGCGAGCTTACTGAGAAGCGTCTGGGTCAAAAAATCTGAGAGAGTGACTTCCACGGCCACTTGACGGCCACTAGTCTGCGACAGCGACTTCCACGGCCAGGGGGGGAAGCATCGACGAATCCGCTCGCTCCTGGGCGGGATGAGGCTACCAGCCTTTCTGGGCGATCAATGGGCAGTTGGGGGTCGATGCATTACCCCTTGATAGGGAACCCACAAAGGACGTACGCGTCAAACTATGTACATAAACGCGGCCCCTCGATCCGCGAGACCAGCCGCGTGATACGAAAATTCGCGCAATGCGCACTCTCGAAATCAGCGTGGATTCATGCACGCGCACGTCCTTTTTTCGCTCCTGACTTGAGTCCATCCCCTGGTGGTTTTCGGGCCCCCGGCGGCCGCTCGGAACGATCTGAGCAGCCTCGAGACGCCCTCGGCGAGGCGCCGCCGCTGGAAGGCATCCCGAGGCTGGAGAGCCAACGAGAACCGACGAAACCATCCGAGGGCCAGGGGCCCAGTCTACATGCCCGCGAAGAGGCGGCCGCTTGGGGACAGGCGGGTGCGAACTGGCAGGCGCTCATGCGGTGACGCAAAAAAACAGCCGGCATTGAAATCCGACCCTCAGGTCAACGATCCCATACTCGTCGCGCACGGAACGAAAACAGCCGAAGACCTCCAGACTCCACCCCACCCTATCGTTGCCCCTGACCAGTCGGGGATCTAGTGACTCAGGTCAGTGCAAGCCCGGGTCAATCAGGCCGTGCAGGATCCTGATCCTTCAGAATCCTGCAGAATCCTGCACGCTAGCCCAGGTCAGAGCAGCCCTGGCCCTGCAGGATCCTGCAAGATCCGGCGCTCTGACTGACCCCCACCTTTCATTGA